TTCTATGTAAAGACCGTCATTTTCAAATGAATATTAGAGGATACATTGCATGTTTTATCAGTTTATAATTAATAAACACTCGAACGTGTAAATAAATTAATTAGACTTGTATTTCATTAAGTTTCAGGCCATCGTCGCTGTAATTAGGAATCAGCACTATCAGTATTTTTTTAATTTTTTTTTTTAAATATTATAGCTTAAATATCACGAAAACAATAATAATAGAACTAAAAGAAGATAAAATTTGTTACTATAATTTAAAGAATATAATAGAGAATATATTTTCTCCGGAATTTGCTGATGATATAGGTAACACATGGATGAATTCGTAAACAATTCTCGTTCTATCATTCCATGTATAATTAACCGAAATGCTAATTATTTAAAATAAATTAGCATTTTATTGAATTAAAATTCATTTATATTGATTTTTGTTGAAAAATATCATTTTAATTATAATATATATTAATGTAAATGAATTAAAATTAAAGAGCACGTACCTGTAGAATATCATTTCTAAAAGAGAACGATGAGAAATGATGTATTTTTCATCTTTAATATTAGTTCTAGTATAATTTCATTCTGACTTATCATCAATTCATTTAGAATTAGCATTTATTATACTTTAAAAATCATTCAAATTACACATACTAATCAATGGAATAACTATAAAAGATGATACAAGTCGACCCCCCTACAACACCGTTGATAATTCCGTTTTATACGAATTCCATGTTGTACGAGTCACTTAGATTTTACAAATACGTGAGCCGTTCACATCCCTGCACACGTATTTGTAAAATCTAAGTGACTCGTACAACATGGAATTCGTATAAAACGGAATTATCAACAGTGNAAACAAACATAGATTTAAAGAAAGTACACCTTTTTGCCACCTTTTTCTGATTGGTTTGTGTTCATAAATAATTGTATTATGTACAAATCAATAAAATGCTGTAATAATTTAAATCAGCATAAATTTTTTTTAAGGCTTTTGTAAGGTTACCGACGTTGAGGGGGAATAAAGTCTATCTCGCGTCAGAATGAGCCTAAGGGAAACCACGTATGTGGGCGGTGGCAAAGGAGGCAAATGATGTACAAGTATTTTACAAGATAAAACCCGTTTATTTGTTCGAATTCATGCTTACATTGATAATGGACAATTCCAAATCTCGGTGCTCCTGTGAATGGCGAAAGTTTGGGTGATCGGTCGCAGCCCGGGCGGACGAGAAGGATCACTGGACGATACAGATGTTCGTTGTTAAGCTGCGGCGTCCTGGGTGATCGGCAGTTGCACAACACAATCTAAATCACAACGGTAGGCTTAATCCAGAGGAGATTCTCTTTCGACCTTGAAGTTCTGATTTTTATAGTTTTTCCCCCACTGTTCGCATTTCGGATTGGTCCCTCGTTCCATTCCTCGCTTCCCGATTGGTCTCTCCTTTGTCTCCAGATGCAAGATGAAACTTTTTTGGGTCGCGGGAAAGGTCCGATTCGAGGTGTCCATCTGATACCTCTTTATCGACTCTGCTCAATGACTGTTTATAAAATAATAACACCTGCACTCATAACTCAGGCCATTATTTACCATTTTTTGACGTCTAAGAATTTAATGATCATTTTCATCTTTCATCTATAAAAAATTCATTTTTTTTGTTCGAAAGGTTTATCTCGGTCAACGTTTTATAGACACGCGGGTCAAAGATCTACCTGTTTATGAGCGCTCGTGTTAGAGTATGTCTTCCACTAAGACCTTGACAGATGGTTTGACACATACTCAAACCGTTCCAAGTCTCATTGTTTACATTCTGTGTCGCGCAAGAATTTCACGGTTTACTCGAGTTCGAACCTTGTCTGGGAACCCACACTTTGAGTAGACGGCATTATATAAAATCAGCGGTTAAGTGTGGTCTTACTGTACTTCATTTAGTTTGAGAGGTGATCATTTCCATATTATGGCTAGAAAATTAAGTTAACATAAAAATAAATATACAAACTACTAAAAATTATTACATGATTTTATCTAATCTTCCTTCATTTGATAGCAGCCTTTATCAAATTAAATTATTTATTTATTTTATTTATTTATTTATTTTATTTCGGATGTGAAATATTCATGTATTACTAGTATTTTGAATATATACTATATATTGCATTCTACATTATTTATTTATTTATTTTATTTCTACGTTAAATCTTCCTAAACGAGACCAATCAGGAATGCTGGTTTTTGAATTTAAAGCGTATTAAATTAAAAAGAAAAAAAAGAGGGAAAGAAAATGTATAAATTATTCATTAAACGGGGACAAGTTTGTCGAGATGATAATTCTCTTATCCCAGTTTTAATTATAAAAAGGAGTTTTTTAAAAAATTTCTCACATAACAGAAATTATTACTGTCGTTTTTATCTGAAAGAGATTTTTTTTTTTCATTTCCTTTGTATCGTTCTTTTCTTCCGCTACTTTTGACATTCGAGGAAGTAAAGTGACGAATAGCGTGATAACAAAACGGAACTAGCTGTTAATAGTCTTTCCTCTATCATTTTAGATCACACAATACGTTAAAAAAAAACGTATCCTTTACTTCAGTGTTTTTCAACCTGTGGGTCGCGACCCCTAGGGGGGTCGCGAAGCCTTACACGGGGGGTCGCGGGTAAAAGAAAAAGACAACTGTTTGTAGGTCCTACACTATATTAAAAAAAACTACAATTTCGGCGAGAAAGCTGTATCTGTTTATTATACAGTACAGTTGGTTTTTTGATTGACATTTAGGTGTAAATGATGGGTTTCGCCAGGGAGGGGCCAGAAAATGATAGCCGAAAAAGTGCTGAGCTGACCTGTAAAAAAAGTAATAAGTAGAAAAGTGGAAGTTAAAAACTGTCTTCCTAAAAAAAAAGAAAAAAAAAAAGGTCAACAGCACTCCGAACCCAATGTTCCTATGAGAGGGAATTATCATACAATACGTGTCATAAGTTATTGTCTATCATCCTTAAATTCTCATTTTAGTCAACAATAATTTCTCTTAACAGAAAGAAAATTAAATACATAATTTTTAAAATCACTGATATAGTTTTAATATCGCCCTAGGGGGGTCGCCAGAACTTTTTAACTTGTAAAGGGGTCGCGTATTCAAAAAGGTTGAAAAACACTGCTTTACTTCAATAATAATAATAAAATGTACGTAAATTCCTTCTTTTTTAAGTACAGTAGACCCCCTATAACACTGTTGATTTTTCCGTTTTATACGAATTCCATGTTGTACGAGTCACTTAGATTTTACAAATACGTGTGCCTGGCTGTGAATGACTCACGTATTTGTAAAATCTAAGTGACTCGTACAACATGGAATTCATATAAAACGAAAAAATCAACAGTGTTATAGGGGGGTCGACTTGTATCCGAATCGAGATTTCGTCCATTCACATTAACTATAATTACTAAAATTGACAAGAAGAATATTGAATTAAGTCTTTCTATCTTTAATATTTAAAATTTAAGACATTTTCTTAAGTTTTAAAAATGTTCATTTTAGTAATTTAATAAATAATTTTTTTTTTTAATTATAGTAAATTTAAGTTGATCTTTTTCATTAAAATGTCTACGATCTGAGAAATGTCATCTTGTGATGCTTGTTGAAGGATGACAAACGGCGATTGGAAATGAACGAAATGAGGAACTCGACTTACTCGAACAAGTCGATATTCCTATTTCCAAGGAGAAAATGTATATTGGAAGATATTAAAGAAAGAACGATCTTGGTATGATGATATATGACACCTCCCCGAGCTACTAATGTTGGATAAGACTGTATTAATCAAGTTTAGACAACAATTCTACTTTCTTTCGAGTATTTAAACATCATAAAAACTGGTGTTTCATCGTTTAATTCTTTAATTGATAATTATATAATAAAGCGCTCTTCTGATTCACCCACTGGAAACTTTGTGTTCTGATAATGTCAACTTATATTTTATCGATTTTTCTTTGTTTTATCGAAATGTAAAAGTGATGATACAAGCAAATACACAGTGTTTATAACTTAGTGTTTAGAATATAGTCCGTAAAAGTCAAAAACTTATACATATTCTATAGGCTTATATAAACTATTTTCTTCTTTTCTTCCATGAAATCTGCTTTTCTTTTTTCTTTTACGGGGAAGAATTTAGGTTTAAATAAGAACGATAAAGTCTCTCTCTCTCTCTCTTTTTTTTTAATCAAGTTATGTTTTATGTATTTGCGGAAATCCCTGCTAGAAAGATTGAAGACGGTGCTCGACCTCTATTTATAGCAGCGAATCCAATCGAAGGATTTCGTCTAGCCTACACGTGACCCGAGGTAACTAAACACGCATTAGTTACATTAAAAGTTCATAAACAGGAAAACTGTATGATAATTAAACTAGTAATATCATGCAGGTGAGTTCCGATTATGATCCGTAGTATCGATCGTTAACGCTTTGATGAAATAAATAATTGTGGATATAAAACGTTAAGAAAACTGCTATGCTTAGAAAAGTATCCTAAGGGATTCGGATCAATCGATGTTCCCGATCAAACTATTGAAGCTGACATGCAACTTGCACATTTTCCACATCAAGTCTCGAACTACCTAGAAACGGAATTAATTTCCGTTCTTCAGGAACGTCACTTTCTACAATGGTACTATTACTTTCTCATTGTTTATCTTTTAATGATTTTAAAATATATTCTTTTATTTAATAATATTAACGAATTTCAATCGAAATTTATAATTAAGAGAGTTTACTCGCTGTTTTCAATAGAAACTTATTTTACCAACTAATGAAATTCTTTATAAATAATCTATGCAGAAATCAATAAAAGGAAGAGAAATTATATTAATAGAACGAAAGTCAATTATAAACTCGAATACAACAACATCGATCTTTAAATTTGGATTAAAAGATCGTTAGAGGATAATTGAAAATTTGAATATAGATCATTCTATAATCTAAGAAGATAAAATGAAAAAAAAAATACAAACCTTTCTTTTGATACATGGTCCATTTTCTGTTCTTTATGACGATTTTATCATCCAAATTAGTTTTTAAGTGTAATTTCTCTTCTTTCAGTAATTGAATAGGTTTTCCATTAAGTTCCTCAGATAATTCTTTCCATAATTCGCCCTTTTTGTCCGTGATGGTCACGTCCGTCCAGATATTGTCCCATAATACGTGCTGTCCACTTCTGATGAAACAACAAAGACCACAAGATGCCGAAGACGGTCCCCACGCTTCTACGGTTCTGTGACAATGATGATTATGAAGGCATCGACCGTATGACACGATGGTGCTTAAAACTCCATAATTGGTTCCTACTCCGTTATAACAATCTCTTACGTCTTGCCTTCGACTTTTTTTCTTTTTCCTTCTCTTATTAATAGATATAACTGGGCGATTCTTAGGAGATATCTTATCTCGATCTTTTCTTCTAATGCAGATGATCGATCCCATTGTAGAAACAATACTTCATCTCCTAGAAAAATTCAAAAATTATATTATTTATATAAAAATAAATATACTTAACGGAATGTTCTCATTAAATTTTTTTTTATATTTGCCAACACGGTGTCTTTTTTCCCTCTTGTCTGGTGCCCTTTTTCTAGTGGTTTCTATGAAAGAGCAGATAATCTAATCTTAACAAGTTGAAAGCGTTGGTGGATAAAAAAAAACAGAAAGAGACACTAAGTTCTCTTCTTTCTATATCATTCTTGCCAATATTTGCCCAATTATAGACACGTCAACGACAGTTCAACCAATTATTCTATCGAGATACGAATTAACCCAGACTCGTAGAGGAGAGAAGGCGTTTCTGCTTCGTACCCTCTAACTTACCTGTAGCGTGAGTGGACGATGTAGCACGAGTTAAGAAGTTTAACCTTTAAAATGCCCTTGTACTAGTCTTTCAGATAATCTCGCAGAAGAGTTGTTCATTCCAAATTCTACATATGGAAGAAGATTCTCGATCGATAGCTAATAATAAATATATTCTATTATCTCACACACAATCTTTAAATTATTAAATAATCATAAAAATTAATTCTTTCTCATTAATCTCTTGACTAAACTAATAGAAATTTCTTTCCTTCTTTAAATTAAAATTATAAAATAATTGCTTTTGGGAGAAACTTTCGTCCTTTTGAAAGAGAAGAGAATAGATTCACTTTCTAAATAGAGTCGAGATACGATATTGCGAGTGGTCTCGAATATTTCAAGAAGAATACGACGGCGTTATACAATAGACACACGACTTTATCAAACAGAATTTCATATATATAACATGTTCTTGGAACTTTCCTTCAAGAGTTTTCATCATTTTCTAAAGAATAAAACGTTTAAAAATTGCTTTTTTTTTTTTTAATATAACTTATCGATGCAAAAATGTTTCTACAATAACATTTTGTAAATTGCATTTTTATACAATTAAACATAGATGAAATGGTAAAATTATATCGAGAACAAGAGGAGAAACAGAAGTAATCTGATCATAACGAAAGCAATAGAATGTATTATTAGATAAAATATAATTATAATATTTATAAACTCGATTAAAAAAAAATTCTATATACCTTTTTAAAATTATTTTACATCATTAATCTCTCGAAGCGTATAAGAAAGTATGCAGGGAACGAATAATATGGCGACTGACTGACTGGATAATGACAAACAGTTATGAGATTAATTCTTAATAAATTACTTCTTAAATAATTAATTCTCGAGTCTTAATTACTTTCCCATTTTATTTATTATTATTTTATTATTATTTTTTTAATATTTACGTATTAATTTTAAAGTTGTAAGATATTTTCGCTAAGTCATTCATTAGTAATTTAAGCGTTTAAAGTACAGAAATGAAGCTTTGTTTTACTGTATTTTATTTTTGATACGAGTAAGAAATAAATTATTTAATAATATTGTTAATTTATTAAAGTTTGATAATAACTTAAGGTAAATTAATTTAAAAACATTAACATTTTTAATTACTTTTCTAGAAATAACTCATACATGAACTGTAATATCCGATAATACCAGTTGACCCCCCCTATAACACCGTTGATAATTCCGTTTTATATGAATTCCATGTTGTACGAGTCACTTAGATTTTACAAATACGTGTGCCGGGCTGTGAACGGCTTACGTATTTGTAAAATCTAAGTGACTCGTACAACATGGAATTCATATAAAACGGAATTATCAACAGTGTTATAAGGGAGGTCAACTGTATAAGATTTTTAATCGTGTTCGTCGTTCAAAAATTATTACTTTCATTTAAAAAAAAAAGCTGGCAAGAGCAAGGGGATTATTTTTTTTACATTTTTTTTTTGGGTGCAAGGACGAGATTTGAGGGTCGAATTTGACAGTACAATGCTTTCCCGTGTTATGTTATAACAGCCCACAATAGCCGAATGGATAAAGCCACTGAACACTTGTATTAGTCGTGGGTTCGTGCCCTGATCACATTGAATCTTCTTCGCTTTGTAACGCTTAAATAGGGGCTAATTTCTCATAGAAAATACTCCCGAAAAGTATCCCCTCTCGGCATATCACCCACATGTCGCGTTGTTGTAGTAATCCATACACTACATAGTATGTAAGTATGAAAATATTAGGACCAGAATATGCAGAAATAATTGCAACTGTTACTATGTTCACATTCTTTATTATACACTTAACATTTTATTTATTTATAAATCAATTTACAAGCCCCTATCAGATTTCCTAGTTTACTTACGGCTAAATATCTCCCTAACACTAATTTATTACGTTATGGGTGTCAATAGTTTGTAGCGAATCCCCGAAAGTTTAATTTCTCTAACATATATTTCGTGTTTATTGTCTAAGGATTCGAATATTTTGACCTTTTTTTTATAGCGAACGTAGTTTACACAATTCTAAATTTATATGTGGTATACCGTTGCTAGTATTAATAAAATCGGATGTTCCCTCAGCAACTTGAATTTCAAGTACAGGATGGATTTTTTCTCGTGACAACTTAACCCTGGGGATTTGTAACAACAGCCTCCAATCTTCTTTTTCTTTCCTTTTACTTACACAATATTAGTTGACTTACTTTAGTCATTTCCATAACCGTAATACTAATATTTAATTCGGAAATGTAAACATTAATAACGATAATTAAATGTATATAAATTGAATATTCCGTGTAATTTCAGAAATAGCTTCAGGAAGACAACAAATTCCGATAAAAATATAGCAAAATGTATCGTTATTTTCTCAATATTTGAATAGGAGAAAGAACTTTAAAGCTGAGTGTTATTGATTAAATGGGTTTTATAGTTCGCTGTTTATAACGTAAACAAATGAATATTTATGAATATATTCCATTAACCTCCTTTCTTTTCTTCCAAACTTCATTCTTTTGTCTATTAGAAATAGGGCATAAATTCCAAATATTTCTAAATCGATATTACGAATGATTTCAAAACAACTCATATAAAATTCTTCTTCTTTTTCCGGTCGAAAGAGATCCAAATCGATATAAACAAGAACTGATTCTCTAAAGTAGGACTGAAGAATTCACCGAAAATTGAACACTGTCCAAAAAAAAAAAATCGTAATTAAATTTAATTTCAAAATGACTGTAAAATAATATAAAGATTTATCATATAAATTTGACATTCTTAGATAGATTTTAAATCAAAATTTTGACGAAAACTAATCTGGTAATCTTAGAATGAATTAAAATAGATGGACGAAGTAAGAGAAAATCGATAGAATTATCGAGTGCTAACCTCGTTTTACATTTCTAATTTTGAAGTTTTTACGGTTATTATCGTATTAGTGATATTGTTTTAAAAAAAATTAATAATCTCTTAAAATATTTTCTTTAAAAATATATTTTAAAATTCAATGTCGACCACCGTACGAGATAGAAAAAAAAATCGATCTCATTTACATCTTTCTAGAAGCATTGAAAATACATATTTCGCTTTCTACACATTGTAATTCACAGTCTGTTAAAGGTAGAATTTATCAAGATGATTCGTAAGTAATAATTATTTCATTTGGTTGAATTGAACAGTTGAAAAGATTGCCACCAAATACAAGAAATATGAAGTGAGGAAAACGTAGATTTACTCCTACAAATTCCATTTTGTACTTGAAAACACGATGGAAATCTTTATGGTTTATGCATTTTTTGGGGGGTATTAAGGTATTAAATAACTTTTAACAAAATTTGACATATATCTATTACTATGATGCACGCATTTTGTAGTAAATTTAAAGCCTTTAAAAGTAGGAGAAGAATTTTACGTATTTTTTTAATATTTATAAGACTTAATTTTCGAAACGTAATTCTTAAAATATAAATTGTTATTATGTATATGTTGCTTTAAATACTACATAAAATTTATTAATGATTGAATGATGCAATAACATTCCAGTTCTCCGGAATGAATTTATTGAACAAATTAACAACGTTAAGTCCTTGAGGCGTGCATAATGCTCGGAGGATTGTTAAAATTTCCAAATTACTCATTTCAAATAAGGTAAGTTCCTTCGGTATAATATGGTTATTTCATTGATAATTTCAATTTCTACTGAAGTAAAATCATTCGATTTATAAATTTATTCTTTATCTCACGAATTTGACTCGTCTAGAAGGAATTAATTTAATCAAACAATTCAAAATATTGCTACTATTTTTATTCGCACAGATGTATATATCGATACAAATATACACGTAATAATAACAACTATTCGTTTTTTTTTCCATTCTGTGGGCATTAAGAGGATCTTTCTCTCAAGGTCCACAAGTGGCCAAGCGGTCTTCTTACCCTGAACACTGGGAGTTCGGTCGTGGGTTCGCGCCTCTCTCGGACGTGGAGTTTTCCGTGTTTTCTCCACGTCTGTAACGCCTAAATAATTCCCTTAAAAAGACCATCCGGAAGGCAGATCGCCCAAATGTTGCGTTGCCATAACTTAACAAACATCGTCTTTCCCCCGTAGTGCTCACAATGGTGGATGGGGCCCGACTCGTCCCGGATAGACAAATCACGAAAAATTTCGTGTTTTTTTTTCGCCTGCCAAGATTCGATACTGGTTTCCCCAGAGCAATAGAGTAGGTTGAGGTCATGACCGTATCGGCCATCCGGCAGTCCATATATTGTATTAATTTGGAACATATTTACGTAAGGTCTGCCCCCCATTATGGCCTGCCAAGTTTGGATTATTTTGACCAATTCCAATTACTCTCCCCTCCCGGGAAAAAACTAAACTATCGTCTAATCAAAATAATAATAATCCAAACTTGGTAAGCCATAATAGGACCGTAAATTTCGAAAATATCCCACTCTACAGTGTAAATTCGGTAATCTTTTTACCCAAAGTGATAAATAGCTTCAACATCAAACATTATCTAATGTAATTTGTCTTAAGAAGAGTGAATCGTTTTTTAAACCAATAAATTCACAAAATACTGTCGACGGCTAGAGTTAGAGTCATTTGTAATGTTTAAAACGTAAACAAACCGAATCTGTTTATTTTTTTCAATTCCACAAAGAAGAATTTATACCGAGAAAAAAATATATATCCTTTTGACAGTAATTAAATTTTAAAAATCGTTTCAAATATATTTCTTTAAATGAAAAAATAAATAAATAAATAAATGTTTTTAGATATATTTTCATTTAAAATATATACTATTTTCGTATACTATACTTACCAACGTCGATATATACAGGTGGGAGTGAACTAGACTGGTCGTTTCCTTCCTTCACAATGTCATTGGCCAATGTAGATGGACGATGGTTGCGCTTTCGTACTATAGTAGTGAAGAGAGATGATACGACAATGATTTATAAATCGCGACTTCGAGTTAAACGAACGTTTGCCTTTTCTAAAATAAAAAAAAAATAAAAAAAAAACTACTCAGAAATCGCCTCAAATCAACGTCTTTTCGTTAGTGTCTTAATTAGCAAAGATAATCATCTCTCATTTTCTTGATAATTAATTACTCCTCGATGGATAGGAACGTGACAAAGAGGTATATTTAAGTCACTTTTGTATTGTTTATTCAAATTAAATAGTGTTATTTTCGTAACAATAAATGACTTAAAAACTACACCAAATTAGTTTAAATTCTTGTGGAATTATCAGAATTCGTTACAACAGTTTTTCTCAACGGGGGCGATATGTGGGCGTTTTTCCATGTTGAGGGGGCGATTAGTAACAATTCATGTTATTAAGGGCGAAATACAATTTTCCGGGCGATATAGTAAAACATTATATTAAGAATAATTAGATATTTTATTCGTTATATCGTACAATAATTAAACAAATAACATTATACTAGTCACTAGTCTATTCAATTCAGTACGAATTTGGCGTTAGCCTTGGCCCTCGGTATTGGAATTTTAAAGTGAATGGGCAATACTACATAACGGTTTTATTGAAGGGGCGACGATTCGTTAGAGGTTGAGAAACACTGCGTTACAATTTCGAATCGGGATAAACTGTTTGTCCGATTTCCAGAATAAGCTTAGGACTATTGTGTATCAGACTTATTCCCCCTGTTCAGATAGAGAGAAAATAAAGAAAAAAAAATATTATTTTCTTTACTTGCTAAAAAAATAATCTTTATTTTCATTTATAACAAAATTCCTATTCTTTCAATTTTACTCTATCTTTAGTTATTGAAAATTTAAAACCCGAAATTTGTTTCTACCGTTATATATTATATTCCGATTACCGTATAAATTTATTAATGTTATTTTATGAAGACGACTTTCTTCGATTTCTTTTATTGCCGTTTCGAATTCCCCAAAGAATATAAAAGTTGAATTTTTACTTCCTTTCCTTATATCTTCGGCAATATATCTCTATATAATAATTCGTATTTACTGACTACATTTCCTATTATATATATAGGCTATATATATATATATATATATATAAATTGTTTTATATTTACTGACACTAGAGTTCTTTTTTTTATATGTTAATTTTCTTTTAACTTACTAAAATATTAATCTTAATATAACTCCACGTTTCATTTAATTTTAAATATTTTATTGGCGTAGACCAATTCGAAACGGTATTTCTACGTTAATAATTAATAAAGAAGAGACTTTATTCATATAACTTATATTTTAAAAAATGGAAGAATTCCAGTTGACGTGCTCTCTGGTCTAAATCGATTCTACATATTTTTAATACCAAAGATAGGATGTTACTAAAAATAACAAAAGATGAAGATGCTGTGGAGTGTTAAATATTTCTAAGAAAGAATACAATTATAGAAGAAAAATGGTAAATATAATATTAAAAAAGAAAAAAAAAAAGGAACCACTNAAGTGTATGGGGCAAACATATCAGGTGCTTGAGCAATTTAATTTTTTAATAGTTTCTGCTTTTTTGCTAATTCTTGACTTTTTGCTTTATTTTTTAATGTTAATAAAATACTTACTTTAGTTGGATAGTTGAGTGTATTTAAATCTATCAATCCTTTACAGACGATACCGATCTTGGTTATTTTTATTAATAAAAAGTAATATTACAAACGTTGTGATTATTTATAAATGAATGTTAAATTTAATATTTATCATGATTAATATTTATCCGTTCTTTATTCACCGTCTAAATTAAAACTGGGATGAAGGATGTGGAATCGCTTCAATTATCCAGGCTGTAGATCAGAAGGAAGCGACAGAATTTCTGACCTTATTTAGTCGATCGCTAATGACAATACTTAATGATGAAAGCAGCAAAGCGGATGTCTTTGTTGCCTGTCATTTCGTTCGTCTTTACAAACGACACGATTGTTTTACAAATAACATTTCCAGGGTCGACAGCTTAAGATCAGTTTTATCAATGAAAACCGACCGAGTTATCTTAATACACGTTTGGTTAATTAAATAAGATATTCGAGTTGTCTTACGCTGAAATGATTTGAAAATTTTTGAAATTTTATTGGACGATGTTTCTCCTTCTCTCCATAATAACTCTGAAAATTATCATTAAATAGTATTAATAAATAATCACGTTAACTACTTTGTTTAATGGCATTGTATTAAGTTATATATAAGTTAATTTTATTCTCAAAAGTTTAACGCATTTTAATGTACTGTAATAGAAAACTAATTTATTATTTTGTCTGCTTACAGCAAAAGTTGTTTTTAGGAATAGATCCTTCTCCGATTCTACATGTTAAGAAGTAATAGCTTTTATATATAATTAAAGTTTAATTTAACTTGCTTCGAAAACAGTAAACAAATTCTGATTTCTGATTAGAAGTTTTTGTAATTCACAAATACTTCTTTCGAACTGAATGAGCTTCTATTCCAGTAATGGAATTAAAAAATATATATAAACATATAATTTAATTTGTTTATTTTATCAGAAAGTTAATGGAAAAATCAAACTGTAACTGCATCTTCTAAAAACAACCTTCGCTTCACTTCAGATAAGATAAAATGTTTTCTCATCGATTGAACTTTAACCTTAACAAATTCTTACCTAATTCCGTAAGTGAACAATACCAGAGCGATGATCATGCTCATTAATGGATCCAAATAACCTATTTTGTTAATGTAATGGTAGAGCAATTCGGCAACGATGATTAAAATACTTAAAACTGCACTCAATCCAGTGTTGATGGCTAAAAAATAAATATTATATCTGTTATTTTTCGAATAAATGCAATTATTTTTTATAATTTATTCTTTACCTTCCAGAAGAAGCGATTGACTCTTCATCTTCTTGTAAGCATAAAATTTACTAATTGCCATGATTAAGCACAGAGCCGAAGCCACTGATGTTAGAACAAATACCTCTCTCATCTAAAAACAGAAAGGAAAAAAAAATCACAGATTAACGATCAATTCATAACCATTTTACTATTTCTAGACAATCAATTACTTACTGATTAAATATTTAAAGTATTCTTAAGTGAAAGCATGAGAATTCCTAATTATTTTATTGATATAATAACTAAAACTTGTAAATAATAGCAGAAGATATCATAAATATAATCAATACGAAAAGTTATCGTTTGTATGGTAATATTTATAGGGCTTATTCAACAAAAAAAAATTCGTGTTTGATATATTTTCATATGTCAAAGTTAAATTGTTATTATGGATGATACATTATTAATTACGAAGAGATTATAGACAATGTAGAATGAATATCTGGGACAAATTGATGGGGAGTTAAAATCCAGGTGGTGGAAGCGAGAGAAGGTGATGCCAATCGATGCCCCATAAATCTCTAGAAATAGGTTAATGTGAGGGAGGAGTAGACTAGGAAGATTCACCACCCTATGGGCGTATTATCGAAATGATTTGCAAGCATCTTATCATTTTAAGACAAGACAAAGATAACTTAACGACGTCACTATTTTCTCTAGTCGTTAACTGCGAAATTCAAGTCAAAACGACCGGTGAAGATGATCAAATCCCTGGTGTCAATCGATTGTAATTGTGTCTGGTGTCGATTGAACTTTCATCATCTCTAGAGAAGGTTAACAAAAGTGAAAATACAGTTAAATTCACATAAAATTTGAAGCCTTTCGTCTCGAAACGAAAGGCTTCAAATATGTTGTTCCGTTAACAATATGCATCCCGAAAACTGTCAATTCTAATCAACTAATAAAACGAAGGTATAAAATGACCAATTATTATTATTATTATTATTACTATTATTTCCCCCCTTTCCTTTGTCTGTCTAAATTCGAATAAAGATAAAAAGAAAAATTTATATTTAAAAAAAAAAAATTCTGTTAAGTTAAAACACGTCTACTAGAAATAAATTATAGATAACTTTTCATTTATTTATTTTTTAATGTTAATAAAATACTTACTTTAGTTGGATAGTTGAGTGTATTTAAATCTATCAATCCTTTACAGACGATACCGATCGAAGAAATAATAAATAACACGCCTAACACTAAGCATGCTCTGAAATTTAAACAGATTGATGAGATCTTAGATTAACTTTAAAACGGAATTAATTAATTAAAATCTTTAATTGTTTTTTTTTAAATATTTACGCCAAATTCTTCTTTTTACCTTTATTATAACTTTAATCGATCTTTTAGATCTCAATACTGATAAATATTAAATAAAAACTTACGTATTTTCTCGATCTTCCAAATGGATGGAGTAATTTGATCCGTAAAATCTCCAAAAAACAACGGAGCAGCACAGCATATCTAATAAAGAATCCATCTACACAAGAGAATATTTTAAGAAATAAAGTAAAAAGAAAAAAAAAACGTTTATAAAGATAATTAAAAATAAAAGTTTACTTACCGCAAAAGCATACATTGCCGAACTATTGCAGTAAACAGCGCAAACTACGAAAAAAAAATTAATTATTTACTATAAAATAATTATAAGTTTAATTACGAAGTTTAAATCTAATATTAGGAAGTAACTATAGTTTTTTTTAATATATTTTTTAACTCTCTTCGCCTTTGGAACTAAGAGGGCCTTTTTAAGCGAGATATTCGGCCAGACTAACCCATGGAGGGAAGAGAATACCAACAATTTCGGACGTATCAACCTTTGGAGTTTTTCGGTTATTATAAGTGTTGTAAGTTTAAATTATTACGAGTTTTGTTGTAGTGTCTTACAAGTTACATTCAATTACTGTACTGAAACTCCAGAATGTGTTCCATGTAGAACATTACAGTGTGGTTATAATTAAAGTTACTCTACTAAGACCTGTCTAGAGACCGTTCTCGTGGACGTATTTTGATGAAACTTGGTATATATGTTATATGGACCGTGGGGAAAAGGAAAATGTGAAAAAATATTTAGTTCGAATTTTTACCACTAGGTGAAAAAATGGCGCACGAAGAACAATAAGTACAAAATGGAAACACGCAAGATTTTTATTCACAACATTTGTTCAATGTGCAATCCATTTGTTCAATGTGCAATCCATTTGCATCAATTACGTGTTCAAAACGCCTTACAATGCTGTAAGGTGTTTTGAACCCCTAATTGAACACGTTTTGAACACGTAATTGATGCAAATGGATTGCACATTGAACAAGTGTTGTGAATAAAAATCTTTAGCGTGTTTCCATTTTGTATTTCTTGTTCTTCGTGCGCCATTTTTTCACCTAGTGGTAAAAATTCGAACTAAATATTTTTTTCACATTTTCCTTTTCCCCACGGTCCATATAACATATATACCAAGTTTCATCAAAATACGTCCACGAGAACGGGCTCTAGACAGGTCTGAGTAGCGCAACTTTAACTATAACCACCCTGTATATCAGAGTGTTTTAGTATTAATCCTGTATTAGAATTGCCACATTAAGATTTGGAAATAATGGATTCTTTTTTGGGAGGTCCGTATTCCAACAAATGTAGCTGAAAAAATAAAAATTTAATTTTATGTAAAAATAATAATTATAAAAGAATCACCAATTGCTGCTGAAGCTAGAACTACGTTGACAAAAGCAGAAATGCCCATGATCCACAAGACAATTCTTCTTGATTTTACTTTACTACAGAAATCATCGGAGTAGTTTATTTTCAACGGGATAGATTCTAGAAAATAAAAATGATTACAGCTGGAAATTAAAATGCAATTAATTAACAATCTGATATCCTTAATCATCATCACTATTAGCTAATTTATATTATTTTTTTGAGGCAAATATTTACCTCATCCCCTCTTCTTATAAATCCATCACGGAAAACGCTCTACAAATTTTGAAATTTTTTTTAATTATATATTGATTGACTTTAAATATATTTTATTTTTAAAATTTTTATTTGTGTACAGTACTTGCTTTGTTAAGCGATAGTTGATTTAAACTGCAATGGCAGCTGTATCCGGGAAGCCGAATTATACCTGCAAATATAATTTTTATAAAATTTTATTTTTTTTTTTCTAAAAAAGAAACTAAATATGTGGTTTATTCTCTAGCTAGCAAGCTGTTTTTTTTTTTTTTTTAAGCCGAGTTAGATAATGTTTTCAGAAATTCATTTGTTACTTTAGCAAAACTCGGTTATTGTTGAAAGAACTAAACATCTCTCATCAGCTTGTATTGTTCGTCCTCTTCCTTTTGACATAAAAGAGTTGCTTTTTTTATCACTGGCAAAGTACAAGAGCTCTAGATCTATTAATATACTCGACAGGGTTGCAATGTTTGACATTAATGGATTGTCAGAAACATCCTGCATCGGCTTTCACTTCTTTTATCATTACTGATCAGCCATTAACACCCTCAAAATCGAACTAGTCAGTTTAAAATAGAATACATTTTACCAATTTTATTCTCTATAAAATTCATGTTTTTGTTATAGAGATTATTATCTATAATACAAAGTAATAAAAATACTGTTGTTATTTCTTTCGGAAATTAATTAGTCTATCTCGATTTTCAATTAATGTAATGGAAAAATGATGTATTTTAACATTAAAAAATATATATATATTTAAATATAATCGAAATTCCTTAAAACTAATTCAGATTGTTGTTCTTTTAATAGACAAAAAGAAACAAATTCTAAATGCATTTAATAGCACAAAAGCTAGACTTTCGCTCTTTTTATAGACGCATTAAGAATCTTAAATCGCTTTTCCTTTGAACATTATTGTTATAAACAGAAATGACTGCAGATTATTTTAATTTTATTTAGCAGATTTTAAGCAAGTACAATTTTCCTCGTCTAACCTCATTTACAAACAGTAATTTGAAATTGTCATACTTCATTAGGATATGGCACAAAGTGCTTGATGGAAATGCCAAAAGTGTTACATCTCATACTGCTATTTCACCCCTTCATTTATGTTATTTTCTTTTCAAATGTAACATTTTCATTTAAAAAAAAAAAAAAAAAGTTAAAACATATCAATGTAAATTATTCTTACCTTCGATAGTATGTTGGTTGCAAAATACTGTTCCAGTCATATTCAAATTTGATGAATTTCCCCAAAATTATTCTTAGAAGCATGGACATTGAAATTCTGTCAATTTGACAAAAGATCAACTTCTCTTCTCTATCTTTCTACCGTTCTGAGTCCTTTTTGTTTCTTTCTGTTTCTTATCATCTTTGACCTTTGCTTTAATGGAACTGAATAAGCAAATTGTTTGATAGATAAAGCTTATTGATAGATGTCTGTCAATTCCCCGAAAAATTTTTTATAAATAATATCAATTCTTTATGCATCTTCGGAATATTTTTAAAAAATCAATACATTATTATTAAACTTTTTTTTAAAAAATCCATGTTTTATTGAGATTAAATTATCAACTAAAGTTTAAAAAATAAAAATATGAACTGGAAACTGCCAACTGTTGCATCTCCATCTTTTGCAACTATCCCAGTTTAGATATTAATATTTATTTTCATATCAGCTTCTGGACATTAATAAATGATAAATCAAAGATCCATTGTATATAATGACATATAAGGGAATATTAATAACAAGACTTATCATAAATGCATTTATATATGATGCCAATTTATGATTGCTAAAAATTAAAAATGGCATTAAATCAATATTTGCATTAAAACTTTTTTTTTATAATGCATTATCCCTTTCAAAAGTTTATCAGCAGGTCCTAGTCTATATTGAAATACGAACCATTTATTAATTACATTTAAATTGATTAGTTCATAAGGTTATCTTTTTAAAATTTCTATCAACTTATTTGGAACGAACCAGGATCTAACAGTTATAACACATTTTAGTTTATAGGCTACGCAATTCAATAATGATAGGGTACAATTGCTTCTAGCTGTAATCTTAAATCTCTTACCAGATAAATAAACCTATTCAATAAAATATATTTTCTAGGTTTTTAAAATATATTTTAAAAAATTATAACTAAAAGATAAAAAAAAAAGAACGGATGTTTAAACAAATAATGTTTTTTTCTATGGTGATAGCTATAGCTATTGTTAATAATCTCCAAAAGCTTTGAAAATATATTTGTGTGTAAACAAATTTAACTTGTACAAATATTATAAAGATAATAGAAGAAAAACATCTAATAAATGTATTGTTCTGTATTTAATATCTTAATCGCTTATCAAGTTATCTTTTTTTTTGTGATTTCGGAAAGAATGATAAAAATTTTGTAAGAAATTATGAACACAAACAACATACAAATATCTATAAAATTAAAATGTATTATTTCGTATATATATAATAATAATTACATAATTTAATAGCTTTTAATTTTATAGTTGAAAACTCTTCTGTTACATCAATAGTTTTCAAAAATTTCTTTATAAAATCTCTAAAATTGAAATTATAGTTATGTATTATTAAACAACAGATCATAAATGGTCTTGTAATTGTCCACAAAATGCACTTCAAAACCTTCTGTAATATAAGTAGGTAGATCAAAAAAGTCTTTCCTATTCTCCTCTGGCAATATTAAGCACGACACTCCTACTCTTCTAGCCTATAATTAAAATCATTTTATTTAAAATTAATTCTAATAATTAATCATAAAATATTCAAAATTTCAAATATAATAATTGATCTATTTTAATTTTGTCATATGTATAAACATCTGTAATTATAACAATTATGAAATGCGTCTTCAAAAGAGAACTATTTTAAGCAACGGTCACAATTTTTCGGTGCTTTCCAGATATAAAAAAGCTACATTAAAATTCACATACAAAATAAAAACTGTTTCGGAAAGAAAAAAACCATTTCACTAAAATGGAATAGAATTACATAAGCTGTTTCAATTAATCGACTGTAATATGATTTGATTAACGGTAACAAATTATAAATAAGTTTTATAAGCTAATTAATTAAAAACTTTTCTATATTTATTTAAATTACATTGATAATTGACAAATAAAGTCTTTATTAATTTATATATAGGAAAATTATTCAATATTGGAAAGATTTTAAAAATTTAAATAATAAAATTATATTAGACATTTCTGATTATTTATGACAAATGATTAAAATAATCATAATTTAGAATTTTCCATTTTTTATTTATTTACTTATTTTATTGTGCAAGGCAATGTCTTAAGATGGTTGGTTACTCTCAAAGAACCAAACAATTTGAGAGTATAAATTTTCCCTCATATCATTAACTTACAATTATTTACATTAATTTACGTAATGGCTTTTTTTTTTAATAACCAAATATAACATTCCTCAAATTGTGGAATGCATGCTAAAAAAATAAAGCACTACATAATAATAATTTATTTTTAGTTACATAGGAATTAATAAGCTGAAAAAATAAAAATTTAATTTTATGTAAAAATAATAATTATAAAAGAATCACCAATTGCTGCTGAAGCTAGAACTACGTTGACAAAAGCAGAAATGNCAAATAAGAAAATGATTTGCCTTGGGTAAGAAAAATCAAAACAAATATACTTTTGGATTTTTTAGTTTTTCGTTTAAATAGCCACAAATATTCTATTTTCTTTTATAATTTTTAAATACATTCTGCAATTCATAGAAAATTTTTATGCATGCATTTTCTTTTTAAAATGTAAAATTTCAATTCTTTCTTCCTTTCCAAAGTATACGAATTTACTAAGTAAATACAGTACATAATAATTTTACAAATGTTATATTTTTAAAACATAATCTGTGATTTCCTTTTGTTGTTGGCTGGAGTATGTAACAGAAAAATAAACAAAATTGGTTCAGATTAAGCAGAGTTTGGATTAGTGAGTGTACACTATATTTTTAAATTATAAAAGCTTTGGTCTTGATTTAACATGTACACTGTTAACTATTAATTTAGAGATCTGAATGTTATTTAGTTAACTAGTGAATTTTATCCTGTTTATGAATAATTATAAATTACAATAGAATGACATCATTCTTTATTGAATATCATCACAAATTTTTGTTTGAAGACCAATAATTCTTGTTACATGAGTATGACCAATATATGACAAAGTCAGTGACTATGACCAATAGAAAGAGATTTAACATTTAAATCAGCATTATTTTCTACATTTTGTAAATTTAACATTCATTTTATAACTATTCTAACATATCTTGGATGTGTGCATGAACAAACTGTTGTTTTCTGAGAGATCTGAATTTTGGTGATTTTACATATAAACTAATCCCCATGTTTGTGAATAATTGGGACTGAGTAATCCTTCATGAACATAAAAATTCTCAAAATTTGAGCTCCATTTTCAATGTTAAAGTTGTACATTGTTCCAAGACTTTTTGTATTACTGCTGTTTTAAAATAATTTAAGAAAAATGAATGGTTTTACTAAATAAATATACTTGGCAATGGTTTATAGTGCTGCAAAAGTCATTTTATTTAAGCTGAAAGAAAAAAAAAAAAAAAACAGTAACATAACTTATGACAGACCACCATACAAATGAGTGATTGCAGTGATCTTTTAGCATCGCACATGCTTGAACATTTAGTTCTCTCAGATGACAACTCCAGTTTACAGTAGTATGTAATCTCCTATTTCCTGAAAGGTCAAAACCTTTCACAAAAGTTGAAATTTTGGTGCATGAATATCCAGTCATGAATGATCAAATTCTCAAACACTGATTTCATAAACATCAAGTAGTGTATTAGCAGCAATTATTTGACAGTTCAAAACTGGCTGGTGTCTCATTTTCCAAATAGGATTAAATTCTCCTGTTACTTTCATTTGCTAACACATACAAAATTGATATTGTTTAACACCTTAATTCAAGAAGAGAAAGACCATCTGAGATTATGAATTGTTCTGAAGACTAGATCAAAGAAAATACTTTTGAATGTTTGCAAGTATTGGTGAAAACTGTTCTTTCAGTATTTGTCAATTTCTGATTTGTTTCAAATTCTTTTATTTTATTAAAATTGATAAACAATGCTATTGATATGAATAATTGGTATTTTCATCATTTCAATTGGAATTGCAAAATTTTGAGATTGTTCTATGCTTAATTTCATTTTCCTATAGATGCTTTTCTTTCTTTAGAGAGTCTGATTGATTATAGTATTTTTTAACAAATTTAACATAAAACAAATTATATAATACATAATTGCACACACAAAACAATTTCAAAATACATTTTATAATTTTCATATTTTCAAGTAAACAATTTTTTGATTGCATGCTATCAACTCAATAACATTGAATAAATCAATATTTATTCGATGTTTTGTATTTTAATGTACAAAAGTTATTTATTAAAAAATTAAATGAATTATTTTTTTTTCAAAAAATAAAATAAACATTATTTTGTTACATTTGACAAATAATATGAAAAAATTTATTTGAAAAATTTCTCAGTAAATACTATTACATTCCAAATTAAAATTTATATTTGACATAAGATAATAAATAGTTCAACAAATGAAACTTGAATGTACAGGATCATGTATGTATGTCATATTACAATAACTAAGAGTAACACAAGAGTACATATATTGTATGTATGTATCTTTATATCATGTAAAAGTAAAAGTATTAGACATGAAAAAAATCAGTTAATATTCTAAATTGTAAAATAATCTATTTTTTGGTAANATAAGAATTAATTACTCTACATTTCACTTATTCATAAATATAAAAATAAGCACAGACAAACTCCAGTTTTTGAATTTAGTTTGTTCCTAAAAGTTGTTCAAAAACTAATTTGTTCTCAAACTGAAACAAATTTTCCCATAAGAAACAATAGAAAATGGATTAATATATATGTTCCTGATTAATATGTATGTTCCTGACAAAATAAAGTGTTTTTTTTAACATTTTTAGCTGTATTTTATGCACAAAAATGCCTACAATTGCAATATAATATTATCTATATCCATTTTATATATACAGTAATACCCCGAACTTACGTGATAGGTGGAACCGAGCGGTAACCGCGTAAGTCGAATTCGCGTAAGTCGGAGTATAATTTCGCATATAAATACATACAAATAATTTTTAATTGGGGCCGGAGACTAAAGAAAACAATAATTTAGAAAAAAATGTTTAATAAAATCTTAGATAATACATATGTATAACAAATTAGGCCTATATTATTTTACAATTTTTCACATTTACTTGATTATTACGCCATAATTTTAACATTGTTTCCATCTCAGCGATAATACTGTGA